TTTTGTGAATGTATAGGTGTGCCCGCCCACTGGACAACTTCCATTCTCCCGTACGAAGCGAGCGTTGAGGCGAACAAACCCCTGACTATTTTCATTCAGCTCAGAGATTCTGCACGTACTGACCTTCTGGCAAACGTCAGCGAGAACCTCCGCACATTCGCCATCCCCAGGTCTCAATTGGGTGCGGAGGCTAGCGCGCAAAGCAAGTTGGAAGTTCCGCTGACGTATCTTGGCTCAGGGAAATTCCAAGCCCAACTTCAGACAAAGGTCGCACGAAGCTACAACCTTCATGCCCAGCTAAATGGGGCTGATATTGTTGGAAGTCCTGCCACTGTGTTTGTGTATGCTGGTGAGAGGGGTCATCTTCCGCCAATGGCCGCCCTACCCTACCCCACCCTACCCGACCCTACCCTACCCTACCCTACCCACCCCATCCTACTCTCCCCTGATGTTTCAGGGTACAATTCTTTTACCCCTTCCCTACCCTACCCTACCCTACCCTACTCTCCCCCAATATTTCAAGGTAGGATTTTTTTTACCCTCCCTTTCCCGTCTCTACCCTACCCTACCCTACCCTACCCTACTCTCCCCTGATGTTTCAGGGTACTACTACAATTCTGTTGTGATTTCGACGACCCTGCGATATGACATTAGCACCAGGTAATTCAGAAATGTTTTACTTTGACCATCCGAATGCATCCGGATTCGAACTTGGGTCTGATTCATATTTCAACAGTTCATGGGTGTACCAACTGAGCTGGGCTGGTTCGTTAAAATATGCTTTTTCTAAAACTTCCGAGTCGTGGACACCACTTAGGGAGGTGATATGAGCAGAGCTTCCCTACGTTGGCTCCGAGATTGAAGGCTCCCTCTATTGGTGGGGAGCAGCACCTGCTGGAAACCAGGTCCAGCGTCCCTCATATTTACAAAACATTCCTGTCACTGACAGTGGTGTCCACGACTCGCGTTTTGATTAAAAAAATAAAATAAAAAATGATGGTACGTCAGAGAGAGCATGGCACATCTGAGGCACAGTTCCACTAGCTAAGAGAATTCCCCGTTAAGCGCCTAAACCTGGACGTAATTTATGCAGACATGCAGAAATTCGGCCACTACATCCAATCCTCTTTGCCAGCGCGACTATGCCCCTGTGGACCCATGTCCAGTTACAACCTTTCAGAAGAAACAAAGAACAATAAGATGAAGGTCATCATCTTCTGCAGCTCTCCACAACCACGTCCATGTTCAGGCACTAAATCCAATCCTCCTTGCTAGTGGGACCGTGCCCCTGGGCTCGTGTCCAGTTGGAAACTTTCAGAGAGAAGGAAGAACGATAAGAAGAGAGAGGTAGGTACATGCATCTCCCTCACATGCAAAGCACTGCCACAAGAAGACACCCGAAAAGAGTCTAGGCAAGTTCGCCCATGTGCCGAAATGGCACAACACCCATATAACTCTTGATTAAACCACCAGTACTTCCTGAAGTGCCGGAATGGCACACCCATATAACCACCAGAAGACTTCAACACACTTGCCCCCCCCCCCCCCCCCCCCCCCCCCCCCCCCCCCCCCCCNCCCCCCCCCCCCCCCCCCTTCCCCCCCCTCCCTCAAAATTCCAATTTCCATTAAATGCTTGCAAATTAGAGGCCGAGGACCTGTTCATTACTCCCAGGCGGTAACATCTAAAAGCATAAAAAAAAATAAAAAATCTGAAAGCATCATCCAGCTAATAGCTTACAGGCTGAGAGCCTGCCGAGTCTTTCGCTACACAGACTCCATGCAGCTCTCCGGCAGCTGAATAGCCAAAAAAACATAAGACGACATTGGAACACAGAGAGGGGGAGACAAAAAAAAAGAGAGACAAAATGATACAGCACATCATTCAATCAGAGTATACTTGCACTCGGCCCTCGACATCACAAAATGGCAAAATCAACAGGCAGATCGATCGAGTCCTTAAAAAAAGGACTAAAAAGGACTCTTATCTGGCCACTGCCTATTTTGCAATTTCGCCGGCATCTGCTCATCCTAAATATAGCATAACCTTAAAAAATATATATATATATATATATATCATAGGTGGTAATTTGGCTTTTTGGCTTGGAAGTCTTTCTATATATATTTTTTGACTTCTTATTATTCTTTTCGTTTACTTTTTCTGAGGGTAGGATCCCACAGGACGGCGGCAAACGGTTTCGGAAGTCCTCTCGCCTTCCAGCCGACTGCCCACGGCCAACGGAGATGATGATGAAACAGAGGGGTGGGCCCCACCGCCTGCTTTCGCGTCGGCAGCAGTTACCCAAAAAGGAAATTCCGGGGAGATTTTCCCGTTTGGGAAAGGTCGGGGCCTGGAAATCCATTCCAGGTCCCTTACCGGTGGTTGTAATGGAAGGGCTGGCAGCAGTTACCCAAAAAGGAAATTCCAAGGAAGTTCTCCTTTTTGGGAAAGGTCGAGGCCTGGAAAGCCATTCCAGGTCACTTACCAGTGGTTGTAATGGAAGGGCTGCCGACTTCCGTCCGCATGCGCCAGAGTAGTACGCACCCAGGACGTAGGTAGACGGACCGAGTACTGGAAAACTGGAATTTAGGGCCACGTAAGAATAAAGGGGCTGTGATCCGAGTGAAAACGGTTGCCCGAACCCTACAGGTTGGATGGCTCGTGTTTCCCAAGGACAAATTATTTTTGAAATGGATGGTGTTAGTTTGTCAAATGCTCAAGCAGCTGCTACTTTAGCTTCACATAAATTGTGTTTGTCCACCAAGTTAGTCTTCCGCAACGGGAATCTCTGGCCTGCGGGGTCCTCCACCAAGTTAGTCTTCACAAAACTGTTTGCCGCCGTCCTGTGGGGTCCTACCCTTCACTTTTTCTTGCTCCAACCAGTGCTGTTAAGCGAGACATCATCAAAAGGTGTCATGATGCTCATGCTCATGCTCCTACCCTTCACTTTGCTTGCTCCAGCCAATGCTGTTAAACCACCAGTACTTGGCCCAGCTATCAATGCCGAGCCTGGAATGCCCCTGCGCGCCGATTTTTGCCGAAGCGCCGTGGTACCGTTTTTGTTCTATTTTTGGCTGGCGCTTCCAACCATTGTGGTCCGGTACCCCGAAGCCCTAAAGGCACGGCGCGTTATCGGGGAAGCGCCGCGGCGGACAGCTGGGCCAAGTACTGATGATTTAAGCAAGACGTCAAAAGTTGTCATGATGCTCCTGTGAGCATGCCGTCGGAGGGCCTGTAAACCACCGGCCCCATCATACACCTCCATGATTGCTTCACGAGGGAGAGCACGGGTTGAGGTAGCAAAGCGGCAGCCAGAATCTGGACGCGATTGAGAAGACGTGCAGAAAATCGCAATTGCAATTGATATGCTTTTTTTCTGCATCTCTGCATAAACAACGGCGAGATTCAGGCAAAAAAAATGGTTAAAAAAATCCTTCTGCTAGTGAGAATGTGGCACAGGTCACAATACACATCAGAAATTTTAGGACTGTTGTAGGAGTCAAAGGTAAAGCCTCAGGGTGACCTGTCATCGGCAGCAGCAGCCTAGGAGACTGCTGACTACTGCATCCAGATCCAGGTCCCACTCGCGCAGATGATTGGATTAAGCGCGCGCCTGAATCTGGACGTTTTTCGTGCAGATATGCAGAAAAGCAGATCTGTCACCTCTCGACAAACACGTCCGCATTCAGGTGCTACTAGACCTACTCCACTTTTGCTAGTGCCACCTCGCAAATGGATTAAGGACGTGCCACGGCTTTCCTACATCACTGACATGGCTGCCACATCGGCACGACGACTCCGCGAACACACACATCCTGACGAGAGGAGAACCTCTTCTCAACAAGTCTTTTATTGGGCCTCGCTGCACTACTCTCGAAATGTGCAAAACGAGAGTGAATCTTCCGCTAGAACATGGAAAGATGCACCGCCATGATTTTTGTCTTTTGTGCATCTTTCCATATCCTAACGGAAGATCCAAATGTACTTAACGCAATCGAGCGCCGGAAGATACAGGAACAAAACAGCCAATGTGCTTAATGCAATTGAGCGCCGGAAGATACAGGAACAAAACAGCCAATGTACTTACCTAACACACAGCTCTGCCTACACGTAAACCATATAGCTCTGCCTAAGGCAGCAGACAGGAGACCTCTTCTCCTCAAGTCTGTTATTATCAGCAAGATGTGTTCGCTGAACAAAACAGACAATGTACTGAACTGAACACATAGAGCTCTGCCTACCGTCTTCCCCCGCACATAACACACCCTGAAAATGAACGTATACAAGGTATGTTTCCGTCCCGATACAGGCAAAATGGGGGTGTGTTGTGTTCGGGGGAAGACGGTAGTATATGTAAGACATATAGCTCTCTTCCTTATTATAGCTCTGCGGCCTCTGCCTAATAAGGCAGACAGGCTGCGGGGACATGGAAGGACAACTACACGGCACACACATTCACAGTCGACGGGCCGCACGGACACTGGTGATTTAGAACATAATAATAATAATTTCTGACGTCATCCTTTCAAAAAATAGCCACGTCATCATCCCCCTCCATGCACGGCTACATCACCATCCTTCGGGGCACACAGCACTCTGCTATCACCATTGGAACGACACAGAGGAGATTGATTGCCATGGCCCCGGCCAGATATCTGAAGGATGGATGGTTGATTTGAAAAGGGGCCTCACTGCACGAGACAACACTCCACATGCATTTGGACTCTTTTCTAGACCACAGGTGCATTCGGAAGAGTCAAACATTTTGCATGCACCCGGTCCAGAGAGCGTCCAAATGCATGTAGAGTGTTGCATAGTAGAGCAAGGCCCAAGGTTCCCAGAACCGCCCAGCCTTGCACGTAAGCCATCTTGAAAAGATGAGACGAAAAAATATACACCGCAAAGTAAAAGCCTTGCACGTAAGCCATCTTGTTCAGTTGCGGAAGTGGGGGAAAGACGCAGGGTATTGCCGCCTTAACGCCTCGCTGCTGTCAGACACGGGGATCACAGCATGGGTCGAGAGCTTCTGGGTGGACTGGAGATCAGCCAAGCAACTGTTCATGAGCACGGCGGAGTGGGTGGATGCGGGCCTGCGGATTGTATCTCTCAAGTTGGACTCCTTCTCACGTATCTCAGCCTTTCTTGGTAACAAAGAGGAAAAGAAATTACGTATGCGGGTGGAGGAGGCGGAAGGCAAACTGGGGGATAACCTCATCTCAGACCTCTGTTGGTCAGAAAAGAGGACGCGCAGACTGCAGGAGTGGGAGGAGTTCCAAATCAAGAAGGAGGAACGGAGGGCGAAGATTTTGGAAGTAAAAGGGATTGTTACGTCAGATCGACTCTCGAAAGAAGCTTTCAAACGTCTGTTGCCACGAAACACAGCGGTTAGGATGAGAGAACTAAAGCACCCGTACCTCTTGGGGAAACCAACTGCAGTGGATAATAAAGAAATGTGCTCGTACGCAGTGGATTATTTTCAGGATATCTTGACGACAAGAAGACCTTACGACAGCCTGGATGACAACATGGCAGAGGAGTCCCCTGTGTGGAATAACCTGGATTGCAGTCTACCTCTTGAGGGGAGGCTGTTGATGGATAGGCCGACCACGGAGGAGGAACTCACTGTTACCCTCAAGTGTATGGCCCGAGGTAAAGCGCCGGGGGATGATGGGTTGCCGGTTGAATTTTTTGCGGCATGTTGGGAGGTGCTGGTTGGGGACTTAGTGTCATTGTTTAACGAGATTCGGGACGGAGGGAGGCTCGGCAAGACCATGACAAGGGGGATCATTTCCTTGCTGTTTAAGAAGGGGGACAGAAGCGACACAAGGAATTGGAGACCCATTTCGCTGCTGAACGTGGTGTACAAACTGCTGGCCAAGCTTTTGGCCAACAGACTGGGACACTACTCACCAGGCTTGGTACAGCGAGACCAGGGCGCATTTGTAAGGGGCCGATCCATTTTTGAGAATGTTGTGACAGCAATAGAGGCTTTGGAGCTCATCGAGAGGGATGAATTGGACGTGACAGTGTTGTTTTTTGGACCTGGAAAAGGCTTACGACAGGGTTAATTGGACGTTCGTACTTACCACCCTGCGGGTTATGGGATTTGGTGAGTCCTTTTGTAGGTGGGTTAAGGTTATGTACGGTAACGCAACGGCAGCAGTTTGTGTGAATGGAATGGTCTCAGAGGAGTTCGACCTCAGAAGGTCGCTGCGTCAGGGGCGCCCATTAGCTCCGCTCCTGTTTGTCCTCCACTTGGAGCCGCTTCTTTGCAACATCCGTGGTCATCCGGAGATACATGGTCTAAATCGCTCGGGCGGAGGGGACAATAAGGTCAAGGCATTGGCCGATGACCTCTTCGTCATCTCGGTGAACCAGACCCCATCCTTAGAATCCTTGGAATCATGCCTTGTGGAGTTCGCACAACTTTCTGAAGCAGCAGTCAACTGGAGAAAGTCCACCTTTTTTCTTCCCAAGAAGTATCTTCCTGCAGTCCAATGGGGTATGGCAAGGGTGGAGGCGGATCAAGCAGAACGCTTTTTAGGTGTACAGGTGGCATTGGGGGATTGCTCGTCCTCTCAGGACGTGATCCTGCAAGAGAMGGTRTGYAGAAGGATAAAGAGCTGGGGCCCCGCTTTTCACCTCTCATTGATTGGGAGGGTCTTGGCTGTGYTGGTTTCGGCCTTTGCACTCCTTTGGTACGTGGCAACAGTCCGCAGGTTGTCGCCTCCCATGCTGAAAATAGTAAAAGGAGCTGCCCGTAAATTTATTTGGAAACCCTCAGGAGGTGAGAGGGAGGGATACTTATGCAAGGTGGCCTGGGACGTGCTGTGCAGACCTCGGAATGAGGGGGGCTTAGCTCTGCTGGATCCGGCAGCGCAGAACACGTCCCTTCTTGCTCAATGGGTGCTCCGGGTGGCTGAGGCGGAGGAGGAGTCGGACTGGGTTATGTTGGCAGAGACCTTGCTTTCCAAGGAATGGGGTCTGGCGCGCCCTGCAGATACTTGGGTCGCCTTAATGACGGACGCATATTCTCGTAAAAGACCACATTCAAAATTTTGGAGGGAGGTCTTGCAAGCATGGAAGAAGTGTAGGCCAACGCTCATCCGGCCACCTTTGTCCAAAGAGGAGGTCAGAAGACAGCCCCTTTTTGAAAACCCTTGGATAAGGGATTCAGGAGGTGACTGGTTTTCATTGGAAAGGCAGCCAGGTAATTTTGGTCAGAGTTGGCTGCAGAAGGGAGTCGGGACGGTGGGGGACCTCTGGGATGAGTACAGCAATCAATAGAGGTCTCCGGCTCAAATGAGAGAAATCCTGGGTCATGTTCCAAATCAGGAGAGCCGGCTGGGGTTGCTGCTGCAGGCAATTCCAGAGGACTGGAAGAAGCTTCTTGGACCGGAAGGCGTTGATCCGCCAGGCACCTCGTTCGTCACAGTATTTGAAGAAATGGAACAATTTCGCAGACTTGAAAGTTGGTCTGAAGAATGCCCGGGTAAATGCTGGCTGGAAACTTATAGGCGTGCCTTTCCCTCCCTCCCAGTTCTGGAAAGGGTGGGAATGAGGCAGCAGTATGGTCTTTCAGGCTTGAAGGATTTTCGTGTGAGACTGTCCCCCCCAAGCGATGAGGGACTTCCGCCCGTCCCCTCTCTGGTAGGCAATGGCACAGGGTTGCACCACATGAGGATTGACCCAGCAGTATGGGGTTGGCAGGTGGGGGAGACAACAGTCATGGGCTTGGAAAAGTTGAACGCCAGCTTGATTCTTAAACGGAGGACGGATTCCGGGTCAGTTTGCGAAAAGATTGGAGAACGCTGGGACCGAAACGAATTGCAATTGGCTCGACCCTCTGAGCGGGAGCTTACCAAGTTATTCCCAGAAAATTGCCTCACTTTTATGGTTGCAGTCACACCTAGCGGTTCCTACCGCCCAGTGGTTGTCGGAGAAAGGTATGGAGGTGAGAACAGTCTGTGACAGGTGCTCAGAGGCCACTGCGACGATGCAGCACCTTTGGTGGGACTGCCCGAGGTCAAGGAAGTGGTGGAGGTGGTGGGAGTATCATTGGAAGAGATTTGCGGGAGTGGTGGACCTGGTTGGGCAGAGGTGGATACTTACAGGTTGTATACCGCAGAATCACAGTTCTTCGGAAGGATGGGCTTACGTTGCACAGGTGGGCAGGGGCATAATGTTCTGGATCATTTGGGTGGATAGAAATAGTCTTCGCTTCAAAGGTGAGAGCTTGCAGGAAAAGGCGGCGGAAGGACTCTTTAAGAAACTGTTGGCTGCAGCTATCAGAGCGGACTGGTCTCGGAAGGTGATCAGAAGGGGTTCTCCCCAGGGCAGGGATTGGTTCTGTCGCACGTGGGGGTTAGGTCTGGCACACATCTCCTCAGAGGGAAGGTTGGTGCTGGGTAGATGGCTGGAGGCAGTGGATGGAGGGACATAGGGAGCCGGCTGTTGGGTAGGACGCTGGCTATTGTTGTTGCTATTTTAAGGATTGTGTGGCGTTGTGGGGCCTGGAGCCTGGTTTTCTTTTGCAACCAGGGCACTCGGCTGCGTGGTTCGGGCCACAGTAGGTTAATGTGGGGTGGGAGGGGGAGAGTGCCAGGCTACTATGGAGCAGAAGCTCCCCGCAGCCGTGGGAGGCTGGGGTCCGAGCCAGGTTAGGCTCGTGAGTTAGTTAGAGGTAATGTAAGTAGAGGTAGTAGGACCGAATGTTAGGATAGATGTAGAGGTTTTCTCTTCCGTACCAGACGTCAGGGGTGTGAAGCGGTTCAAGGTTGGTCTAAATGTGGATTTATGTTGTAGCTCGGATAAGAGGCTTTTAACCTCTGTCGAAGTTTGAGATGAGTGGGATGGGCTAAGGCTCTAAAGCTAAACCGGCTGATGCTGCCGGGATAACTCCGGGTTGAATTGTGAGTTCCCCGGCCTCTTTTTGATGATTCTTTGGAATGGAAAAAAAAAAAGAAAAAAAAAAAGCCATTATTAACGTTTCCAAAAACGCACAACGGAAAATTACACAGCGGATAAGGTGTTAACATTTCTTAAAAACATTTCGATTTTTTTTTTTGTAAAAGTGATGACGACATCATGCGTATTTTTGACGCACAGGGACGGAAATTTTCATCCACACGTCTCACAGAAGAGGCATCATCTCTCTTTCTCGGCCTCGGCCGTTTGGCTAAAAAAAAAAAAAAACCCATCTAATATCTGTTCTGGGGTCAGGTCCCCACTAGCAGCGTTGAGTAGAGTTTCCTCAACGCCTGAATCTGGCCGTGTTTGTGGAGATGTGCACAAATGACATCTAGTTTTCTCAACCGCGCATCTCCACAAACACGTCCAGATTCAGGAGTCGAGAAGACTCGCTCAAAGCTGCTTCAGTCTTCCCCCGAATACAACGTACGGTCATTATAGCTGAATTTGTCGCATCTTTCAGTCTAAATTCAGCTATAATGACCGTGCGTTCTACTCGGGGGAAGACTGTAGTGGCACTTGGCCCCTGGTCAGTTTAATACTCTAGTCCGTCGCCCCGTCCGTCGGACCACAAAAACAGATTAAAACAAAAAAACAGAGAAAAAGAAAAGAAAAGACCAAAACTCATCCCCACCGCCTCGTGTGCGGTTGATCCCGGGTGTTTTCCCGGGCCGCTGTTGTCCTTCGGCAATGAAATTTAATTTCCTCCCCCCCCCCCAAAAAAAAAAAAAAAAAAACTCATTCCCACCGCCTCGTGTGGGTTTGATCCACGTGGTGTCGGACAGGTCCAATTGATGCGAACAAGACGGATGTTGACGGCGCCAGCTTGGAAAAGAAACAAGACATGTGGGTGCTGACTTCGACGGCAACGGTCTCCACTTCGATCCTACTGATAGCGAGAGATACGTATGGAAATCGAATCACCCAAGGCGGCCACATCTTCGTTCCTCTTGTCGACCCGGTGACCAAATCAGCTGCTGCTGCTGCTGCTGCGGCTGTTGCTGCTACAAACACAAGCACCGAGCCACTTGCGGGCAACGGTACCAAACAGCACGGACGGGCACAAATAGCCCAAGCAGGGCTCAGCCCAAATTGTAAGGATGAAATGAAAATGAAAATGAATGAATGAACGAGTGATAAAACCCGTTTTACCCCAAAACCCCGACCCATCCTCCTCCCTCCCTCCCCCCAACCAACAATCCCTTTCCCCTCCCACTAAAACCCAGCAGCATCATTCTTCTGCCCCCCTCAAACGCATTTCCCTCTCTTTCGCGCCCCCTCCACAACCCTCCCCCCCCCCCCCCCCCTTCCCCTCTTTCCCCCCCCCTCCAACGAGTTCCTTTGCCCCGCGCACCCTTGACCACCTTCCAAGTAGTCTTTCCCCCTCCTATGACAATCTCGCCGTCAATCTCTAAAAAAAAAAAAGAAAGAAGACCCCATCAAAGAGATGTCAACCAGTGAAGGAAAAAACACAATCAACGAGAAAGTCGAGTGACTACTCGATCAAGTTAATCAATCGATCAATCAATCAACCAATCACTCAACTACTCCTACATCTCCGACCACCAATCAGCAACTCCATCCAATCAATCAAAAAAAAACATTCGGTTGAAAGAATTCCGCGGTGCATTCCATTCATTGATTGCTCTGCTCATCAAACCATAGTACCTTTCCCGCGTGGGAAAAAAGGGAAAACTGGCTATCCTGAAAATTCGGACGCCAGGCCCGACGACAAACGAAACGACTGCCATTGATAAATCTGATCGGCGGCTGTCGTTTCGTTTGTCGTCGGCCCCGGCCTCCGAATTTTCAGGATAGCCAGTTTTCCCTTTTTTCCCACGCAGGAAAGGTACTAGTGGCTCATCAATCGCTCAATCAGCAGTTCACTCTTATATTCAATCAATCACCGACGACCAAACGGCAACACTCCATCATCAGATCCAACAACGCGATCGACAGAATTCACAAACGGACTAATCAATTAATCACACTCTGCTTATCAATCACACTCCAGCCAACCACTCACAGAAGGAAAAATCGAACAAGTAGCGGGCAGCAAAAAGCACCCAGATAACAACGATTATTGATTGAACTGGCTTTGATACCTGGGGCTTAGCTTATCGTTGGTACATCGACAAACTCTTGGTTCCATTCCGCATTCCAAGAGTTTGTGGGTGGACCAACTAAAAGCTAAGCCCATCGTTTTTTTTTTTTTTTTTTTTTTTTTTTGAGAAGTAATCACTGTGAAGTGTTCAACGTATATACTAAACGGAAAGAGACCCCCCCCCACCCGTCTGTCTGGTAATCAACGCTATTGACACGCGTAAAGCAGAACAAGTCTGCAAAACTCCCTTGCGTATCCCGACCACAAAGCACCCTCATCACGACACTATTGGACCGGAATCGGAGAGCTTGTATATATCGTCACATAAATATCAGAGCGCAAAATCGAAAAAAAAAAAAAAACAAGAAAAAATCAATTCATTTTTTATCTTTTTACTTACAACTCCCCCTGTTCAGAACCTCTTTTGCGTACAAGGCCGCCCACGTGGATGTAGGTTGAGCGGCGGCTGCCCCCACCCCCGTGTGTCATATCGACCCACTTGCACACAGCCAAAAGGCAAAGAGGCAAAGAAGAGAGGAAGGGAAAAAAAGGGGGCAACAAAACCAATCCCAGATGACAAGTCCCCATGCAAGCACCGCCCCTGCACCACAGGCCAAACGACGGCACAAGACCAACCAGGAAATCAAAACATTCTTGTCTGCAAAAAAATCAAAAAAAGCTCCGATCCCAGTGTGACAACCAAAAGGAAAAGACAATCCCGGATGACGATTCCCACATACAAGGACCGCCCCGCGCTCAAAAGGTCGAACACCGGGAAACAATCAACCAGGATGCCCAATATACAGAATCGAAGCAGACAAGATTCACAAAACAAACATATATGCATTCATGATCGGGACTCCTTGCTACCGGCGGAAGAGGGGTAAAGATGGGCAAAATAGTCCTATAGAGTAAAGGTGCAAAATACCCCCCCCCCTTGTATACAGTCATGATCGGGAGGCCTTGCTACCGGCGGAAGAGGGGTAAAGAGGGGCAAAACAGTCGGGACGGTAAAAATAAAAGGGAGCAAAATAGTCGGGGCAGTAGTCTATCTATCTATACTCGAATAAAAGCACAAATAGAGATAACACGCGCAGAGAGGCCCAGAGTAAAGCCGAACCCGAAGATAACGCTCCTAGCAGGCACCATGCCTATAAAATATAGCCATTGCCTATAAAATATAGCCATTGCCTATAAAATAGCCATGAGGCGTACGTATGGCGTGTCGACCGCAGGCCAGAGAGTGAAAAAAAAAAAAAAAAAGAGTGCAATGTACCTGGTCACCACGTGGCAGCAAAAGCACATGCCAAAGTATTCTCACCCGAATAGAACGCCCGGCCGGTCATTATGGCTGCACCTGGACTGACAGTTTCCCCAAATACGACCTTATAATGACCAGGCGTTCTATTCAGGTGAAGACAATAGGCCTGCATATGGAGGGCGAATTCAATCCGCAAAACACAGGAGGGTTAAAAGAGAAGAGCAAAAGAAGGCATGTAAAAAAAAAAAAAAAAGAAGGCATGCCTTCCATATTTTGTAATAATACTATTCCCTGATTTCTCTTTCTTCTGCCAGAAACATCCATTCGCGGACACGTGTTCGCTATTCTGAGATGTGTCGACAGAAGGAAGAAACACGACTAAAAATGGACATGTTGGTTACAATCCTTGGGTCAGTGGTTCGAATCCACTTTCCTAAACAGGCAACATGTCCCCGTTCTGCAAAAAGAACAGACGATCCCGCAAAGAGGGAAACCGTGCCATTAAAAAAAAAAAAAAAAAAAAAAAAAAGTGTCATTATGCACGGAGTTACTACTGTGAATATCACGATGTGAAAGACGACCGCGTCGACGCGGCTCTTCCTCAATTCAATAGCGGTCATAGGAGGAGTGGGGGAAAGCCCCCGACGTGAAAGAGTACAGAGCTACGCCCTTGTTGTGACCAGAATTCCCAGCGATAGCCACGAACAAAGGGGCTAATTAGCGACCATGTCCCTTGGCAACCCGAGAGGAGATGTGAGGGTGAAGCTGAGAGCCTCAAACACAGGCCAACTGGGAGTGTGCAAAACGCTCTTTTCGTCGAAGGACAACCCCTTGTCGCAGCCAGCCTGATGGGTCTCTTACGCGAAAGCACTCCTTGCCCAATGATTCGTTTTTTTTTTTGAGCTTTTTTTTTCTTCCAATAATAATACAAATACAGTACGATAGGAACACTGATCATATATGCATCTTCCTCGTTCCTCAAATACATATGGATATACGTATATACGTATATATCGTATATATATATATCATCACATGAATATGAGAGCGCAAAAGCGAAAAAAGAAAAAAGAATGGATTCGTTTTTTTATGTCTTCTCCCTTACAACTCCCCCTGTTCAGACAGAACCTCCTCTTGCGTACAAGGCCGCCCACGTGGATGTAGGTTGAGCGGCGGCTGCCCCCACCCCCGTGTGTCATATCGACCCACTTGCACACAGCCAAAATGCGAAGAGGCAAAGAAAAGAGGAAGGGAACAGCCAAATCAAACAGAACAGGGGGCAACAAAACAGAGATGTCAAAACATTCTTGTCTGCAAAAAACATCAAAAAAAGCTCCGATCCCAGTGTGACAATCAAAAAGAAAGAAAAGACAATCCCGGATGACGATTCCCACATACAAGCACCGCCCCGCGCTCAAAAGGCCGAACAACGGGAAACAACCAACCAGGATGCCCAATAACAAAATCGAAGCAGACAAGATTAAAACAAATCCTAAATGACAATCCTAGATGACAAGTCCCACATGCAAACACCGCCCCCGGCAACTACAGGCCAAACGACGGGACAAGACCAACCAGAATGTCAAAACACACTTGCCTGCAGAACGATAACCAGATGACCAATCCCACATGAAGCACCGCCATCCCTCCCTAAGATAGACCAAATACAGGACAAGGCCAATTATATATACATCGTCACACCGTGTATCGGCGCGTTGACACGGAATCCTCGCTACATCACCTGTCGTTCATATACATCTGTTTACACACAAGGGAGCGGAGGAGGGAAGGAGCGCCAAAAAATTGGGGGAGGGGGGGGGGGAAGGGGGAGGCGCGCGCTTAGGACGGGCGGCCAGCGGGGAGAGGAGAAAGGGAGACGAGCGGAGGGGTATGTGAGCAAAAAAGAGGGACGGAGCTGTTTTTTTCATTACCCACATTCATTCCCGGTTTCTCAATGAACAATTGCCGACTTCGCCACGTACACACCTTACGCCGCTGCCGCGGGCTAGATTCCATTCGATTGATGACGTCAACGAAAGGCAGAAAAGAGTAGGAACGTACAGTGAAGCGTTGTAACTTACAGTTAAAGCGGATGCTGCTGGGTGCGATTGATGGCGTCAACGAAAAAGATAAATATCACATGCAGACGTCCAGTTGACGTTAAAACCTCGGTACTTTAGCAATTAACCTGTGATTAAATCGAAAATGCAGCTTCGAGTAGCAATTTGAGCAGCCTAAGCAGTACTTTGAATGAACTCCCCACATGAACAATGAAAGAGAAACCCGACCCTGGCGATCGTCGTCAATAACACGGCCGGAATGTACATGCCTTCTTATACAGTCAATAAAGACGCTCAACGAGGGCGAAAGACACCTGTGGCAAAGGAATCCATCCAGTACTACCATTACAGTTTCATGACCGACAAGCCGAGTATTACTGTAAAAAACGTACAAAAGAAAAACAGAGAAATACTCGCTCACAAGGAGCAAATCGATATACCCCGAGCAGAAATGGTCGAAGAGAAAAACAAAGGTTTGCTTTATCGCTGTCATCTTTACCCCACATAGAACGCGCAGCGAACCATAGACACATCAATTAAGGACAACTTCCTGACCAGATACGTAGTTGATACACATGTTCGACCGACTTCTCCTACGGAAGACCTGAGTTAGCGTCCACACCCGCATGATTACCACCACAACATACATCTACATCAAAGCAGGAGAAGGGACCAGTATGACAGCAAATGAGCGACCCGGCCCAGTGTTTCATTTTCGCCTCTCTCTCTCTCTCTCTCTCTCCACACACATGGAAGCCTCTCTCTCTGCTTCCCCCCACACATGGAACCCTCTCTCTGTGCCTCCACACATGGAACCCTCTCTCTCTCTGCCTCCACACATGGAACCCTCTCTCTCTCTGCCTCCACACATGGAACCCTCTCTCTCTCTCTCTCTTCTCTCTCACACACACACACGCACATGGAAGCCCCAACGCGAAAAATCCGGACACGTACACTTCTGTTCGACGCGAGGCTTTCTACCATATGCATAAAATCTTTAAAATCTTTTTCCAAAAGTTTAATTGACCTGGAAGCAAAGCCGATCGATCATCCACATTTGTTCGCTCATAACCGGGGAAGTCGTGCGTAAGTGATTTGTCCTTGCGCGGGAGAACGTGGGCGTCAACAATAATTCCTCAGAACGCCGCTCCTCGTCCCACGACCGTTTGAGAGAGACGCCAAGCGGCCCATCACCTCAAGCTGAGCTGCCCACCAATCTCTTCAGCGGAGAATCTGATCGCTAATCCAATCGCTGAATTTCTCATTTCAATTCCAATCTCGAAAAGACAGTAATCATCAGCCACGACTCCCAAACTCTCTCTCTGTGCAGCTACAGACTTCACCGCTACAGTCTCTCTCTAGCTACTCTCAAAGCCAGAGAGTGTGTGGCATCACCGCCTACGCTCACGTAAAGCTCCTGATCCTCCACTTGGCTTCTCCAAGAAGAAGCGCGGAAGAGCCGGGCAATCCGGATGGATCATTCAATCCCTCCACACCCCGCCGACGGGGATAGGAGAATTCGCCGGTTCGTCCACTCATCCCCACCCTTGATGACCTCATATCCAGCGAACATCATCGCAGATGAACCGACACAGGCAAAAAATATAAGAACGATTAAAAAAGCGGACAGACACTGTAACGAAACACACGCACGTTTTTTTGTTTTTTTTTTTTTTTTTTTGGTGAAAGAGTGAATCTCCACCCCTCGATCAGTGGGTGGTAGAGTGAGGTGGGCCGACAGGCAAAGGAATAAGCAGAAAGCCTCCCGATGAGACCGGGGCGGGGCGCACCCGGTTGAAACATGTATAGAGGAATGCGTGTGCGCGTTTGAGCGATATACACGTATGTAGGTAAGAAACGATTTTTATGGAATGCGTGTGAAGAGTAATTTGGCCATTGCTTCTTACCTTCTTCTTCCTCCTTCAACAAACCCTTGATCTCGTCTCCATCAGGTCCAAATCTCCGACTCAGATCGTAATTAACCATATCCTCCTCTCCACAATCTTTTTCTCCTCTTCACTCCCCAATTTGTTCGAATATCAAATCTTCGAAATATGAACTCCGACGAACCCTCGGGTCCTCGAGGCCAAATCTCCAACAGCCCCAGAAATTAACCAAAAAAAAAAAAAAAAAAACCAGATTCACCCCTAATTCCTCGTCCCTCGAAATCCTTTCGTCCAAGCTAATAACAACCCGAAGGTCTTAAGTTGCGGTAATTTGTCCTAAGAAGATCCCGACCTGGAAATTACATAGAGACCCCGATGGGAAAGCTTCAGACCGGGACTGAATTCCAACTCACCCTTACCACCCGCAGTGGACATATGCCTCCAACCAAGGCCAAACAGAACCAATCAACCTAATTCGTAACACACTAATAAGGTGTACCCATAGCATAAGGAAGATTCCCATCCCCTCTCTCCACCCCTCTCTCCTCCCCTCTCCACCCCTCTCCAGCCCTCTCTCCACCCCTCTCCACCCCTCTCTCCTCCCCTCTCCTCCCCTCTCCACCCCTCTCCACCCCCTCTCCACCTCTAGGAAACGCGCGTATAAAAACTGTAGGCAAAGAAAGTATCCCCAGCTTGCACGCGTTCACCCACATCAAGCAAATGGACACAGGGACCCTCCCCTTCCCTCCTCGCCGCCTCGGACAGAAGTACAGGGCACTCCATTTTGGAGACACCAGATCGCGGTGGAGTAGGCATCCCGATCTGAGGCGTGAGGCGGGTGTAACTTGCACTTTGCAACCCACTCCCTCCTTCCAGATGATTTTCGTTTCTCTCCCTTTTCCGTCATCTCCTCTTTCGATTCATCATCATGTCCGCCTCTCCACTCGGACCAATCGCTACGCATAAAACCCAACAAGACCAGCTTCCCGCCACTCCACTCTTCGCGCCCGTTACCCTCCCCCCTCCCCCTCCCCCTCCCCCTTCTCCACCCGAACAAACGAAAGGTCGCAAATCATCTTCTTTAGACTTGTAATCACCGACAAATAGGCATGTGCACAGATCGATCCTCGCCGCATGCGATCGACTGCAACTGCCGCCCAGGACGGAAGTACATGATATAGACCCGCGAAAAAGCATGCTTCCCGCCGTATATTTCCACCACTCTGCCCCCTAAGAGTGTTCGTTTATCCGTATTCCGGGGGATCCACCAACCAGCACATCAGAGATGGATAGAGGCAATGTACTTGTCACATCATTATGATGATGATGATGACGTAGCACAAACGGGTGATGATGATTGGCACGGGAGAGGGATCAGAAACGTTAACACAGAATGCTTACTTCGTCAAAACGAAGCCCAACGACACCCAACTCGCTGGCGCTCACGTCTGCCACTTGTCACACCACAGATGATTTCCATCCACGTGTCAACAAGCCCACGGCTGATGAGCGGCAACCGAGTGGCCCCAGAGCCATCAGATACCATACTCGAACATCATCAGCACACAGCGACATCCAACTCGCTGGTGAACTCGCGCGGCACATGGAAACACCCAAAGTGTTCGTGTGCGCAAATTAGCCCAAAGGCCGATCTGCACTCACGGCTACAAGTGACCTGTTGTACACGAGGGCGTCGAAGCCATCCAACGCCATTCTCGTATTGTTAATGCCCAGCGACAATCAACTCACTGGTAGACGACCATCACTTCCCGCCTCCTCTTACTGGACGTCCTCCTTCCCAACCTTATAAACATTATCCAATTATAAGTGATGTGCGGGTAAACATGCTGTTCTTAGCAAATCCATAAGTCCTTTTTCTTAACAGAGGGCATGGTGCCCTACAATTACAATCACCACGTCCAAGTGTGCACCTCGTAATTCCTGCTCGACAAATTCGTCCACAAACCTCTCTCTCTCTCTCTCACACACACACACACACACTCTTCCTTCATTACCTCCTCTCCCCCCCTCCATCCTTTCCTCCTGCAATCCCTCAGTCCCTCCCTTCCTCCCTCTTACCTACCTCCGTTCTCTTCAATCCCTCCATTACCTCCTCTCTCTCTCTCTGTCAGTCCCTCCCTTCCTCCCTCTTGCCTGCCTCTGTTCTCTTCAATCCCTCCATTACCTCCCATCAGTCTCTCTCTCTCTCTCTCTCTCTCTCTCACACACACACACACACACACACTCTCCCCCCCCACACAAACACAGGAGTTCGTAGCGAAATCGAGGCAGCTTTAGCGAGCGAGCGGGCGGATTTGGCAAGCAAACGAACCGTGCCAACTTGCCGTACAGTTTTGATCAATTTATTCATGAAGATGGGCGCCTTCTCGCGCTCCCAGAACTTCCTTCGGCACTTGATTCAAGAGTTGGTCAAGCTTCTCCACAGGAACGAGCGGCACCCAGTTGGCCACCGGAGTGATAACCGGAAGACGGCTTTCCCTGAGAAAGGACATGGTGGAGTTGAATTTCTCAGCGCCAAACATTGCCCAAGGCGATGCGATCTGCACTGCCTGAGGAACCATCGGAAGCTCCAACGCGGCTTTCCACGCCTCGTAGAGACCTTTTTCTGCCGCTGGCTCATATTTGTCATACAATCCTTTGGCGGTCTTCACTAGTCCTTGCTCCTGAACTTCGTGAGCGACATTCTTCGCCGTCTCCGGCGTGTGCTTCTTCACTGCGTCGTATGCCATAGCCGATTTCTCCTTGACATAGCTTGGCACGTACTCTGGGAGAACGTGGAACACATCATCCACCTTCCGGTCGACGAACTTCAGTAGCTTCGCCGGTTTGTCCTCCAGCTTGTTGTACACAGGTCCCACCACTGTCTTCACAGTCCCCTCGACGCTGTCCACTCTCGGCTTCAACGCGCCCGAGCTCTCCTTGGCATGCTCATAAAGCGCATAGATGTAACTGACGGCTCTGATGAGCGCGATGCGGAAGAAACCCAGATACTTCAGATCCTGCTCGTTGACAGTGCTGCTGATCGACGGCGGCGGCGGCGGCGGCGGCGACGACGACGACATGTCACGCGCCGCCTCGCCGGGAAGAGCTTTCGAATACTGATCAGGGTGTTGATCATCCATGGTCGCTCACGCCTATCTGTTGACTTACCGGCAGGTTCCTCTTCCTGATTAATTACAGTACTTAATCGGAGAAGAACTAATGAAGGAGTGGAGAAACTACCACCTCCGCTCCCAACGCAGGACGTAAGCGTCGTCTGCTCCGCGATTACGTTGCTTACCTCTTCTGACTGGTCTCACAGATCTCTCCTCGACTGATTGTTCCTCCTCCTCTACCCCGATGGTAGAGATATCTCCCCTCTCCCCTCACTTCTGATATGCTCTTTCCCCTTACTCCCACTCTCAGACAACCAATTTCAATCCGCAATCCGACGTCAACCACCACCGAGACCTTCGCAGAACAACGGCGCGCCGAAAACCTACCAGCGCTGAGGAAGATAGCGCGCGAAGAGACGCACGCTTCTTTTCACCTTCGTCGAAAGCTAGATTACAACACGCACGGCGGGAAAGAGTCCGCTATTTGGCGCGGCGACGGTATTGAGAGCCCGCGCAAACTGATCTCGCCTTCGTCTAAAGTCTCTATGAGTCTCTAAGAAATGCCTTCCGCCGTCTGTCACTACTAGAAGCGTCCAAGATGTCACGAAGATTCTTGCTTTTTTTCGGGGGGGGAGAGAAGATGTCACGAAGATTCTCCTCGCTGCTCTACTACGTCATCCATCCTCCCGTCTATCGGCCGTCCTCTTGGCGCCAAGTCCATCGACCAAGCTATAGGTGGTGACCTATGGAATACGCGCAACTCAATGGGCGCGTCGGCACAAAAATTGTTTCTGCCGCCGAGGCGCGCTCCGCTCGAAAACGCGCGGCAACTGTCTACCTCGCGCACTCTTTTTCTTGCTGGCGCTCTCTCTAGCGGTCTCTACAGGAGGGGGCTGGACGCGCCTCCAGGGGCTACCGGTAGGTCCCACTTACACGAATTATTACGCGATATTGACCGTAGATAGCAAAGATCGACGGCCAGAATATCTTAATCCGTACAACGAAAGCGAACGAAAACCGCGCAGGATTTCCACCGCGCGCCAACGAAAACGAACCGGCGTGGCGCGGCGCGGCATTGAGGAACCATCCTCGAAAACTCAACTGGGGTCCCAATTGAGCGCGTGTTTTTTCATTTTCAATTTTCAATTTTCATTTCCTGGCCGTCGATCTCCGCAATCAATGGCCAGAACAGAAAACTGCACGCTACCGGTAGTAGTGCGGTTCAAACCCGGGCCGAGGTCCCACTGGCAAAGAGAAAGAGAATTGGATTCAGCTCCTGAATCTGTACATGCGTTCTGCGTAGATGCAGAAACGCAGTCCAATCGCGATTTCCTGCACTTTGCCATGCATACGTCCACATTCCGCCTTTAAATCCAATCCTCTTGGCTACCAAGTGGGACCTACCCACCCCCCCCGCCCCCCCAAGTCCCGCCCATACAGTTACAGGGGTGTAACGCTCCGCCCGGGGGCTAGGTCCCACTTTCACGAATTAAGAGATTCTGACCGTAGATAGCAAAGATCGACGGCTGAAATCTCCTGATTTGCGCAAGTGGGACCTTGCCCCGCCGGTGAGCTGGGTGCACTTTTTTCCCCGCAGAGGTAGCGGGAGACTCACCTTTCCTTTCTCGAATGGCGCGTGTATCTTTCTATCCTCTACGGAAATATACATTCGCGATTTCACACACGACTGTACTCGCCAAATGTGTGAAATCGGGAGTGTATGTTTCCGTAGAAGATGGAAAGATACACGCGCCATTGTTTTGTCTTTTTCCGCCTTTGAGAAAGTGGTGGAGCGAGCCTTTCCCTTCGTGGCTTGGTAGACCCTCGCTTGGCGCTGGCCGTCCGTCTGGTAATTCCCGCCACTGCGGCATTCCACCATCGTGTCCGTCCAATGAAAACCAGCCACATCAGCACTCGCAGATCCCTTGTGAATACAGCTGGGCTTCCTCCCATCAGCAAACTCAGCCACTTCAGCGCGCGACGCCTGTGCTACAACTAACTCCTCAGCGACCTGAGAAAAGCGGACTGTAAAAAAGAAAAGAAAAAAAGAAAAGCAGACTGCGAGAGGCCATGTGCGTCAGTTGTTGGTAATCGTTAACCGGACGGCTCGAAAACGTCTAAGTAGTCCTTCGGGACATCCGTTAAAATTGTGGGAGAGTGTTGGCCATAGCCTCTGCTGCTACTCGATGAAGGGTGGGGGACGATGAGAAAGGGAGGCACAGCTACTGGCAGGTCTCGGTCTTTGTGTTACCCAGACCCCCACTGGCGGCCCCAACCCTATACCCTAACCATTAGGGGCAAGGGGCAACATGAAATCTCCCCTTCACAGAGAGAGGAAACTATGCTTGCAGGGGTCCCCTCTAGATAGTCTTAGGAGTAGGTAGTGGAAGGCAAAAGAAAAACAGATGTTGAGAGAAGAATATAGAAAGAAAAAAAAAAATTGGAACCATACAAAGAAAGAAGATTTTTTTTTTTTTCTCTCTTTTTTTTTTTTTTTTTTTAAGTCCCGGGTGTTGTAGAGGCTAATTACCAGGCACACGCAGGGATCACCGGAAGCACTGAGCCTTGGCCGTCCTAAGATCACAAGGTCACCTCCCAACCCAACCATTCATCAATACTCCCAGCGTATCCCCTACCCTACTATCCTACCTCAGTGTAACCCACTCAGGATCATCACCGAACCAGCAGGTGGGTGACTTGGACCAGACAGCATGACAGGCACCAAGGCTAGCTATTACCCCAGTCCCAGTGGAAGCGGAATCGGACAGGCCACGCTGTACGGGAACTTCGGACGCCAGGCACTACTATATTCTACCAACCTCGTGTCCTTATGCAAGAGACTATAGACCCCTGGGTTTATCTTCGGGGACAGGCTAACTAGCAGTCAGTACCCCAGCCAGACAGTCTACTGTCCTTCCCCCAGCTTACCCAAGGCCAGGCGGAACTCAGACTGACAGTCCTACTGTCCTTCCCCTAGCGTGCCCCTATCTTGGCTAGGTGGAACTCAGACCCGCTGGGGTAACTATCGTAATCTACACCCTAGGGACTAAGTCTTTCTAACCCCTCCCTCAGTCAAACTGTAGACATATGCAAGCCCGTAGGCCGTATGCCCGTAGGCTACGTATGATATATGTGTGTATATCCAGACACCAGTTGTATACCCGAAGGCAGTATGTACACCAGTTGTATACCCGAAGGCAGTATGTATGTATAACGGGCCCAACCGGACAACCCCCCCCAAAGTCAGTAACCAAGCTCGAACCCGTAACCTGTGAGATATATCTGCAAGACTCAACCGTATGAACATCAATCGGAAATGGCACGTATGTGTGGTATATCAGACTGGGGAGGACAATCGAACAGCCAAGACCAATACCCCAAGCAAGCCCTGCAGAACCCAGAACCGGGATACAACACCCGGGACTTGATCCCCTGACCAATACAGGCAGGGTCTGTAATCATAACCATGTAGTGGTCAGAGGATAGTGTGTCCAGCCGTGCGTCAATCTAACGCCCTGCCGGTGTCCATGCGCAAGGCTGCGGATTTGAACCCGCAACCTTATACCACAATGCGCATTTCCAACCGGTGCTCTAACCACTGAGCTACATCAACTTCTGTTTCTTTACCTTCCACTACCTACTCCTAAGACTATCTAGAGGGGACCCCTGCAAGCATAGTTTCCTCTCTCTGTGAAGGGGAGATTTCATGTTGCCCCTTGCTCCTTAGGGTATAGGGTTGGGGCCGCCAGTGGGGGTCTGGCTAACACAAAGACCGAGACCTGCCAGTAGCTGTGCCTCCCTTTCTCATCGTCCCCCACCCTTCATCGAGTAGCAGCAGAGGCTATGGCCAACACTCTCCCACACACCACACACAACCCACTCGCGCTCACACTCACACCCGTGTTGGTCATAGACCCCGCTAATACCGATCAGGGGTATCCAGAGGACTATCACAGTCCGTTGGCACTAAGTGCGCCGCAGGAGGCTAAAAAAGATTAGCATGGCCCCTGTGCAAGGATGACACGCATAAATCGAGAAATGGTCCAAATTTTGTTGCAGAAAAAACAAAACGTCTAAGTAAAAAAAGAGAAGGGAAAATTTGTCTGGCGCCCCTGTAATTTGCGTTATTTTGCGTCGCGCCCCTCCGACGACCGATTTACCCTGTCGCGCCCCTCTGAGCAAGGTTCAAATTTTCCATAAGACCTCGGTGTCGTTTGGGCCTCAAATCTTTTCGTTACGCCCCTACTGGTACCAGTCCCTAATTTGCGGGATGCCCCTACCGGATGGCCGGCAGGAAAATTTTCGAGATGCCCCTACCGGTACCATTTGCTGCCAAGCCATTTGCTGCTATGTCATCTGCTGCCACGTCATCTTCTGCTAGGTCATCTGCTGGCAGTCCATTTGCTACCAAGCCATTTGCTACTACGCCATTTGCTGCTACGTCATCTGCTGCCACGTCATCTTATGCCACGWCATCTGCTGCCAATCCATTTGCTACCAAGCCATTTGCTGCTATGTCATCGTCTGCTGCCTCATCAGCTGCTGTCACGGCATCTGCTGCCAAGTCGTCCACAACTGCCACATCTTCTACTGCTTTCCCAGATGCAGGGGCGGCTCCCTCTTCCGACAAACGAAAGGATGTTAGTGGTGGACAGTCTGAGTCAACGACGAGGGCAACGGCGACCTCGATGAATGCAAAGGCGGGAAAGAAGAAGTCTGGGACGAAACTCAGGGGCGGGCGTTGGCTCTTGCAAGTCAGTATCTCATCTCATCCGAAGGTTACGATCTATGGAAGAAGATGATGACGGAGGAGAGGGGTGTTGTGATGGTGCTGCGCGCCTATGGCTGGTTGGTGGACTGTACAACGTTCCAGCCCTCTCTTTCTTTCTCTCTCTCTCTCTCTCTCTCTCTCTCTCTCTCTCTCTCTCTCTCTCT